ATAAAGATAAAAACTGTAAGCCACAAAAGCCTGGCTGGGGGAGGGGGACCCCTGGCTCGCCACCCAGCGAGGTTGAGTGGGAGGGTGGGGGTTTGGGTGATAAGTTTGGAGCTGAGATCTCTGTGTATTTATTTAACAGTCCTACTAAGCTTCTCTCATTTTAGTACCAGTGATATGAGCCTAGGAAAATATAGTCTGCTTTATGGCTGAGTTCTTATGAATACTGATTTATTTGAATGTAAACATCATTTGTAGTGCGCACTAGACATAACAAATTTAAGTACTAAATAATCAAATTAGTACATGTGCACTCCAGCTTTAATACTTCTAATTTGTTTTACGTTTTCTTTAGTATGAATATTGCATGTAAATGGGTGAAAATAAATGAAGAAATTGCTAAATCCACCCAAAAATATAGTTGAAAAACTTTTTATAAATACACTTCAGTATTGTACACTAATGTACTACATTTTTATATCTAAGGCAGCGCTTATAATTTCCAAATTAATCTCTGTCTTACTGCTTGATTTCAACGTACAGAATATAATATCCTAACTTTAGTGCAGATATTTATAAATAATATAAAATCACCAATCTTTGTCTGGGAACACAAGGAGGAGGTAGCCAGGAGGGTGTTTGGGAAGAGGGGGGAGGGCGGGAGGTGAGGTGACTTGAGAATCTCTGGTGTTTTGTTTGTTTATTTATTTGAGATAAAAGATTTTACAGTTGGCTGAAGGCCTGCCCTGCGTGTTTATTATCATTACTTAAGAGTGACTAAAAGCGCTTATAATTTTCCCAAAGCGACCTGGGTGAATATAACTTACATTGGAGAGGATTCTTGTAAGATAGTAATTTATTTGAATGGTTTTTCGAATTTTAAATTTTAATTGTTTATTCTTTGATAGAGGAAGCGGGATCTAGTGCTGTCACTTGGTACCCCTGTACCATAACACAGAAACGCTGGCCAGTGTCCTACCAAGTATATTCAGTACAAAGTACAGTCATCCCCTTAGTTATCGCGCTAATTGGGACCCGCCCGATATGATACCAAGAACCTATGGGATTTATTCTGGTGGTTCATTTACCCAAAGACCAACTAAGTTTCCCATTTTGGAGAGCCATTTTAGACCACTAAATATATATATAATGTTATGGTAATATCATAATAAGCTTACACATGTAGGCATAGCTAGGTTTATTACAAAATGATGAAAAGTGCGCTTAATACTGTAGTCCACAAAACATGTAGCTATACTTTTTTTTATTTGGTCCCCCATCATACAGTCCGTTTTCTCTCCACATCCAGGGCGCCCTGGGTCCTTTCGTTTTCTCTCTTAATCTTAGGTGCACCAGAAACTTTACTATTTTTAGTAATGCCGCAATTTGAAATTACAACCCCAATTGCAACTGGGGTTTACAGTGTTGAGCAACTAGATATGTCTGATTACAGCAAATGTGTTATTGTCAATTTAGGTGAAGATAAGTTTTAGCCTCAATAGATGTAGGTTAACATTACACCTGGAGGCAAATGCTTAAAAAGCCTAGAAATGAGAGCATATTCGCTAACACATAATATCTGACCAGTATGGGGAGGATCATGATGTCTCCGTCAGGCGTGGAGTAGTGGTCAGCAGGCATCACTTTCTTTTTTTGGGGCACGGGCGTATATCGATCGGACGTTGTTGGTCGGACGTTAACCGGCGCGTGACTGTACAGTATATTTTGGCAATCAACATTATATTTACTATTTGTTTGTAGTAACATAGAGCAGTCATATACAATAGTAGGGTACAGTATCTGGCTACTTAATGAGATAGGGACCGAGAATATTCACAAAGTAAAAAATTCACAATACTGTACTGTACAGTAGAAGTCCAAAAATCCGGACTGCTTGGGGATTGGGTCGGTCCGGATTTTCGGATTTTCAGTTCTCAGGCAATACTTTTAAAATTCAAATTTAAGGAGGAATAAAGAAGAGATGAACAGACATATTTTGATAGTTTATTCATTAGCAAATATAGCATGCTTCATTTATCAAAATGAGCAGTTTTAAAGAACAAGCTGTGAATTCTAGAATTTATTCTTTGCCTTTTTTATATCATAAATTGTAGACTTTCCAATGTTGTATGTTTCCATTAGAACAGTATTGCTCACACCACGTTCTATTTTAATTATTTAAAAATTTGTCACTCAATTTCAACGTGTTCTTCTTTCTCTTCACTAGCAAGTTTATCTACTTTAGGAGCCATTATTATGGGCTCTGTAAATGGAAAAAGTAGGACTCAAAATTACATACGTTATCACAGTTTGATTGCCGTTTTAAAGTGGCGACCGCGTGTTGCTTGTTGTCGCTGTGCAGCTGTGGCGCTCATGCATGCACACGTACACACAAAAGCCAGCTAAAAAAAAAATAAAAAATTTAGTTTTAGAAAGTCCGGATTCTCGGGTGGTCTAGATTTCTGGCATCCGCATTTTTTTACTTTTACTATATAAAGATGCGTGTAATTTAATACAAAGACCAGAGGCCCCCAAAATTCACTAAGCAATGCAAGAAAGGTTCATTTACTCCACCACAAGCCAGAAATGCTCAACATTCTATTACACCATCAGAAAATAAAGAGAACTCTACAAAAAAGAAAAGAAAATTGAACGAAAAAACTAAACAATACTGCAATATATCACAGCCAAGCTGCCTCTGACTGTCCCAGTGTCCCACACATTGGGCAGTAATACTGGTTGATGGTTGTGCAGGTAAACTAGAAACTTAAGGAAATTTTTACAGAAGATAAAAGGTGTTCTCACTTCATGAAAAGTTAATAAAATATATAAATTTTAAAATTTTTGCCATGGATGAAACAAAATCTGTCCTGGATGTAAATAATGGAAAATTGCATCGTATTGCTTGGACGTGCATATGTTCAGCATGGAATAAACTGTAAAAATATTATTATGAAATATAGTTCTTTGCAGTTTTGGGACCTTTCATGAAGTAAAAAAGCATATCTTCTATAGAAAAATATTCTAAGTTTTGCAATTGACTTGGTTCCTGATGCCTTAAGTTTGCATACATTAGCACACCTTCAAAAACAAAACAAAGGTTTTTTTAGCACACTCATGTAAATAAAACAAAGATGACTTAGTGTTTCCTGGACACCTGAATAAACCCCCAAAAAATTTATGGGTTTCTTGCTTCCTCTTCTATCATTTTGTCAATTCTCCCTTCACATTTTCTGTCACAACTGTGTCAACTGATTCAGCCTCCCCAGTGAGAGTCACTCAGTGTAGCTTGACATGTTATATGAAGCCGTGAAGACAGCCTTGGTTCGCTGTCACTAGCTGGTTTGTTATCTCTAGAGCAACCAAGCTTGAATTTCCATTACCTCAACCAGAATCATTAGACCACTCAGTACAGCTGTATGTTGTTTTATGCTTGCTATCCAAACCTTCTGAGCAACCTTCATTTCTTGGTGAAGTGGCAGCCTTAAATGTGGGATGGCTGTGTACAGCCTTTTTAGTCTGATGTTGCAAATCTTGCCTTCATTAAAACCAAATTTGTACTCCGTAGTTTCTCATTCAGCGGGTCCCTTATTTACAAACGGGTTACATTTTTGGACTGTATTTGTAACTGAGAACCATGTTAATTTTACAATAAAATATGAAGCGAACACATTCCTACCTGTAAAATCGTAACCATTATAACCCATAAATAACAAATAAGATAAATAATTATCATTATTTAATTACCTTGTCCCCTGAAGATGGCTTGCTCATAGGAATGGATGATTGTAGAAGGACTGGTGGACAGCTTAGGTACTAGAGGAGGGTGAGGATTTTTATTATGAATACTATACAGTTATGGCATTACATTCACAAGTATGGATGTTCATAACTTGGGGACCCCCTATATTTCCTCACCATTGCATTTGTTGATGAGTATATCATATTTTAGGAAAAATATATAATGGAAGTTGAAAATCTGTTATTATGAGAGCGTACAGTAAGTACCCTGTACTCATAAAATTTGGCAAATTTAGTAATCAGCCTTGACTAGGTTCTAAGTACAGTGTTCTGGATTACTATTGAGATTACACCTGTATAAGAACTAATTGTTATAGATACATCAGCACAATGTTGTTTAAGCATTTTGGTGCTAAAGTAGTGAAGGGATTAATGCCTATAAAGAACTTTAAAAAAATATCAAAGCTTGAAGAAATACTATACAGTAATACCCCGGTTTACGCGGTTCTCGCCATGTTTCCACATTTACGTGGTACCCCGTCAGAACCGAATGCCCAATTTACGCGGTGCATCTACTCATATTAAGGAAGCGGCGTGCAGGGTTCGTACAAGGTCGCCCAGTCATCAAAAACATTGAGTTCTTCACCCGCCACAGCGGCCCAAGTCAGTGATACTGAGGATATGGACTTTGAGGGTTTGACAAAGAGGCCTTGAAGCCTCTGTGGTGATAGTGATACAATTGATAAGTGATACAGGTGAGGGCCAATAATCTGCCCCTCTGCCTCGGAACCAACTCCCATCCCCGTGTGCCCAGCCATCTTTTCTACTGACATAAGTGTTAAAATACCTAATATTATTGATATTTCTCTTAAATATTAATTGTGTGGTACCATCATAAAATTAAGATGTTATTTTTACTACAACATAGGTATTGTGTCGGAAAAAGTGTAGTTTGGGAGTCTGCCCAGTCTCTATTTCAATTAATCCCATATGTTCTGTTATTCCATTTACGCGTTTCTCATTTTATGCGGTACTCCGCGGGTTCAATTGACCGCGTAAATCGGGGTATTACTGTACAGTACTGTATAACATCTTGATCCGCAACTTCTGTGTACTATAAAAGTGAATCACTGTGACTTGTTCATATTGTTTAGTTGCTAAGTTCTATACAGTAATATGTTTGACAAATAATTTAAAATGCTAGAACTAAAAGGTTGGATATTTGTAATTCACTAAGTATAAATAGCACTTATATTTCTAAATAACCCATTTCCTCCACTTGAAAAGAAGAAGTCAACTCGAAATTGGGTACACAACATTCTCCTTGAAGAACAACAGAGAATAATTAAAAAAATGTATGCCTGAAAATGATGAACAGAATTGAACTAATTTATGTTAAATAATTTTAAGCATTTATGCCCGGAGTTTTAATCATCCTCCTTCCCTCTTTGGCGAAGAACTTGCAGGTAGGAGTCATTCCTTCAAGCAGTAGTTATAATTGTTCGAAGCTCTTCCCTTCCGTGGATCAAAAGTAGGGTTGGTAAGCCTGTCCTTTTTCGTTGATGCTTTAAGCTAGGATTCCATTCACACATTAGTGCCAAAAATGGATCACATTGAAATGTACACGTTGTTTATTGGCACATTCATAGCGTAATGCATTTTCAGTACATACCAATCACTCTGTAGCAATTGAAAATGCAAATGAATGGAATCCTAGCTTTATGGGTCATTTTACTTGTGTGGTTGGTATGCCGAAGGGCATTTGTTTATAAATGCTGGTGCCAATATCAAAACTGCATATGGACAGTTATCAATATAGGAGATTTTATTATCATTACGAGGAAAAAAGGTTATATTGTCCAGATGAAAACTCACTTACAAAACTGTTAAGAAGTTGTATTTACCTTAAATGTGCTTACTATTAATATATGTCTCAAAGTTTAGTGATGATGTCCTACCAGTGAAATTTGATTCTATCCATTTTAAGATTGCTAGCCCGGAAAATTGCTCATTTATATTTTCCAGATGAAAACTCACAAAACTGCAAAAATATTGAATAAATTGTCTTAAGTGCTCTGATTAGTATCAGTGCTTGTAAGATGAGATGACTCCAGCAGCTGAACGAGCTTGTATTTGCAAAACAAAAGATAGTCTCTTGAAAATTTCATGATATTGGCCGTAAAAATATTAATGTAAAAAACTGGTTTATTAAATTAGCATTGTTTTTTCTTTGTTCATTAATCATATTTCCTATAAATATTCAATAAAACAAAACAATTACAAAGAGGGTAACAAAGATTAGCTACTAGCCACATCTTGAAATTCCAATACTATTAGTTCATTTTTCCGTGCCCCCTTCGATGTGTGCTGCAGGGCGGGGTCCTTCACATTTAAAACTGGTTGTCTACATGACGAACCCGTCAACGGAAGATGATGATTAAAACTGGGTGTTAGTCTCTTAACCCTGTATCTAAACTGTAAATACTGTAAAGGCTTCGAATGAAACCTGTATGTTATTAAACATTGCTCTTTGAATACTCTACTTTACTCTATCCTCTTTGCCACTGAATGGCTCGTTAGCCGCTTGGGTGGTCAGTCACGTCTGTTACACTGTTGGCATGCACTGGTTCCAGAATGTATCTGTACCTGTGTCAGTGTTGGTCAAGTCTGGTATTTGAATGAGCTCACACTGGGGCCCACACTATGCTCTCTGGCAGGTTGTTCCCAAGAGTTCATAATCCTCGTCCCCCCAAAAAGTTTGCTTGACAGTTTTTTCAAACTTATGGCTGACAGAAATTTTTAGTTTTTGCCATTTGAAAATTTCATAGTAATACCAAGGTTTATTTATCATAATTATCTTGACACACACAAATTTTAATACTAACTTTAAAAGTTTATTTTGAAAAAAAAAACATTGTTTCTAAAACCAGTTTTTGTGATATAGCAAGACCTCTCAACAGCGCCTCACCAACCAGCTCCCTCAGAAAGTTCTCACCAACAGGACCTCTGAACAAGCTACTCATCACCTAGTAACTCTATATATATATATATATATATATATATATATATATATATATATATATATATATATATATATATACACATATATATATATATATATATATATATATACACAGAAAACGTATTGTGAGTTTCTACCCACTCAAGTAATCCTGAGTGTGAGATATCTTACGTAATGATATCAGGAGCCCATACAAGATAGTTAGACAACCAAAGAGAATTGACAACTGGTCATATACTGTACATTACGCTTATAATAAACAGAATAAACAGGGAATTACAAATTGTGTTTGATGATGCTTCAAGTAACAGAATTGGCTTAAAACAAATAAACATACAAGAAAGAGTTTACCTATGAGAGTATGGGGTTGAGATATTGTCTCACACTCAGGATGGGTTGGAGAAAGTTGAACCACAATGCCTCTGTATATACATTGTATTGGATGTACAATGCAGCTTGGTGCTGGGAAGTGGCAGTGAATACAAGCGTGGACTAGAGAGGAGCTGGGTTGGGGAGCACGCCAGAGGAGGACACGAGCCAGCGAGAGCGAGAGCCACCAGCAGTATAGAGGTGTTGTTTGCTGTAATAGAGGTAGAAGAGAGAGGCAGGTCACGGCGGGTGAGGTTGTAGTGATTCTCCCTCACAAACGCCCATTTGTTGCTGAGTAGCCACCTTTCGAATTCCACAGCCTACGCCCACGCCGCCTGGACGAGTTGGGGTCAACTATCACCCACGCTTACCCCTGCCTTATAAGACCTCACAATTGTTATACTGCCAGACTGGGGTCACTTAATCCTAACGGGAATACTTAAATCTAATCTTAATTTTAAGGGTCGCCACCAGACCCTGACAAAAAGATATGTAGCCTATTAGGTAGTGTGCAGAGTGGACTAGGTATTGGGTTAGGTCATTGACTAGATCAAGGGGAAAGTATGGGTAAAACCATAATATGTCTTAATTAATTTATTCCTTTATAAAGCATACTGGTAAAAACATACAATGAATGGGTCTTCCTCAGAAGAATAATGAAAATGTTGGTTACCTAGATGGGCACCAGACGCCTTACATTAATGGCGTGGTCATCCAGCATACTTACAGATAACAATCTGCACCTCCTTACCGTCATCTTCTACACCGCCTATCATACATCAGACTGCTCCACCTGTATGGAATATAGTGATCACGGTTATCAAGGCTATAGTAGCACCATCTCAACACACATGTTGGCACCTTGCTACCTGCAGGTATGGGACTCCTTGTAACTTTTAGGTATACATACAGGCACCCCCGGTCGCATGACCACCCTCGGTGGGTGTAAAGACCAGGGCTTCAATTTCCAGAGACATACCAGTACTGTTTCCCACGCCTGGTATTATAGGTCGCCCATGGACGCACTGCAGAGTTTCACGGCCTTTTATTTGTGACTACTCATTTGAGGAGGTGCTGGAAATCCACAGGTTCACAGTGGATTGGGCATAGCTGGGAGTAATACCACCTGTTGGGACGCCATAGATAATGGTTGCCGGGCAGCAAGTAATTCAACGATGGAACCTGAGGTGACGGTAGAACTTGAGGGTACTGAGAAAATAATGCCTGATTTAAGCAAGTTATCACACCCCTAACACATTACTATTACACTTATATATCAGGTGCTTTAAACTGTAATAACTTCTATATAAGTCCCTTAATTATAGGTGTGATATAGCCCAAGAGGATTACCACCTGAGGTAAGATCGTAGAACGGAGGGTACTTGAGGCAGTGCCTGCCGCCACAGCATAGAACTCACAGCTCAACTTAATCTTGACTTTATTTCACGGTTCCTTACCTGAACACTTTTCGGTATATTGTCACTATGCCGATAACACATATTTTAATCCCAAATTGGCCACACTAAGGTAAGGCCTCTTGCCTTGCTAGCTCCCGTGGGTAAATCTTATCATATAATATCAACGCCGGGCATAATCTTAGGCGGTACATGACGCGCCTTTAAAACAAAGGCTGAATGTTCAGTGGCGGGGTGTATCAACTTCACTTAAAAACCGTAATGAGGGATTCTCTCTGCCATATTGCACTGTTTGAACACAGACATAAGATCTCTTGATCACTGTACCTGTCAGGTATATGTCACGGAGGACATGAGGCTGTCTACAACGACGACACAAGATTATTTCCTTTCTAGTATAGTTTCTAGTCACTTCCAACACCTCACATAGTCTCTGATACATTTATCCTTTTCCAGATCATTGTTCTCTGTATGTATTTCACATGATGTCCAGGAAGTTATGTTCTCACACATCGCTCACAGTATCGCAATAGTGGACCAAACCAGATCCACACTCTAGTCCCACAGTACATCATTAGTACGTCTAACTGGACTTTTAGTTATCTATATTATGCATACCTGAGTCTCTCAATGCTATGAATAGCACAATTAATATGATATAACTGTACCAAAAAGGCTACAACACATATTCAGTAACATTGAGTAGGTGAGTTGTCCCTAATAGTGTTTCCGTTTTCGAGGCCCCATGTCGTGGATTTGAATGTTATATAAATGAATATGAATTAAATGGGGTTTTAGAATGACAACAGGATGCGAAAGTACATCAGACCACTTCCTTTTCACCCACGGCCAACAGCAAGCAACACCTCCCACGCCCAGCCTGGCGGCTCCGCCTCGCCGGGCGGCCTTGGCGCCCTCGCCAAGTGCCTCCTGGAGCAATCTCACCAACTAGCCCCTCACTACTCCACGCTTGTACCCACGCTTGCCACTCCCCAGCACCAAGGTTGCATTGTACATCCAATACAATATGCATACAGAGAGCACATTGTGAGTTTCCTTTTCTAACTCCATCCTGAGTGTGGAACTAACATCCATAACCCCACAAATGGTGACCCCTGAGATTCGGTGACTCACAGGATGGAGGAGAAACTGATCACTCTCCTAGTCTTCAAGCAACATGGAAGACTGGTCATCCCACGCAGAGGCAGCTCATCGGCTCTACAACTACTGTCTCTACACAGCAGGTTAGACACCCTAGAGCAGCTCACATTTAAGCAGACAGCCACCTCTTCCTGCCCCAAGCACCACGTCCTACTGACCCCAACACACCCGCCCCTGCCTCAGACGCGCCTGCCCAGTTAGTACCCCTGCCGCTTTCTCCTGAAGCGCCCTGACACGGACCCACACACTCCCTCTTTTCTCCCCTGCACCCCCCTGCTACTGTCCTGCACCCTGCTGCTGTCGGGACCCTGCTGCTGTCATGCACCCCTGCTGCTGTCATGGACCCTCTTCTGATGCAGCCCTGCTCCTGACCCAGACCCATACAGCCAGCAGGCATCTGAGGACTCTGTACCTGCCGCAAGGGAAGCATGTACATTCATCACCTCCACACCCTCCTTCTCCCTCTCTTTTTCCCACAGATCTCATGTATCTAGACAGAGCTGTCCTCTAGCGGCCGGCCATCACGCCCCCTGCCGCCTCAAGGCTCACATGTGGCATGCAACCCTGCCAACCTCCAGCCTCCCGCCGCGCTCCGGAGGGGAAGGAGTATTGCAGTGATCCCCCACAAACGCCGCTTTGTCGCTGAGTAGCTGACTTTTTTAGAATTCCCAGCCACGCCTCCAGCGCCTGACGGAGAGGGGCCATTGTTAACAACACGCTTACCTCGCTTTGAGCATTTCACTGCCAGACCACTTTCAGCCCACGTTGCCAGCAAGCAATACTCTCGCCCATCCTGGCGGCTCCCACCCCACCGACCGGCGACCTATGTCCTCGTTGCGTGTGTCTCTAGGCACTCGTCATTCACTCTCTCACTAATGTTGTAACCATGCTGCCTATCTAGCACTGTTAGACAATCTATCAAAATATGTATAGTTTTTCAATCTCCATCCTGAGTGTGAACCAATATCTCATAACCCCACAAGGTCTTATATAGTGGGGGCAGGCGTGGGCTGATAGTTGACCTCCGCTATGTTAGGCGGCGCTGGTTGCCGACCTAGACCATGAGGCATACGCTGGGGAATTCTAAGAGGTTCGGGATTCAGCGACAAACGGCGTTTGTAAGGGAGGAATCCACTGTGGAGGTATGAGATATTGGTTCACACTCAGGATGGGATGGAGAAAGGAAACTCACAATGTGCTCACTGTATACATATTGTATTGGATGTACAGTGCAGCTTGTTGCTGGGTAGGTAGCATGGTAATAAGCTTGAGTAGAGAGAGCTGGGTGGTAAGGGTGCTGAGAGGAGGACACCGGCTCGAGGGACGCGGTCGCTGGCGGGAAGCGGCAGCCGTCAGGCTGGCGGAAGAGATGGTGTTGCTTGAAGGTGGCACTGGGTAGAAAAGAGGGTGGTCACAGCGGTGTCAGGTCTTATAAGGCAGGGGTAGGCGTGGGTAGATAGTTGACCCCCGAGAGGCTGGGGAATTCGAGAAGGTTCGGTGCTTGTAGGGGAGGAATCCACTACACCACTACAAGAGAACTTCAAACAATATAATCTAGCCTAGAGCACTTAACCAACTAAGCATAACTCATCATATATATATATATATATATATATATATATATATATATATATATATATATATATATATATATATATATATATATATATATATATATATATATATATATATATGATAACCACAAGGAAAGTAGAAAACACGAAGTTGCTTAGAGAGCACTTTACTCATTTCAGGTGAGTACAGTCTACCACCCCTGAAGATGTGAATTACAATGAATATGCCTAGATCACGCGCACCTACAGTGATTACTTGCATATATATATATATATATATATATATATATATATATATATATATATATATATATATATATATATATATATATATATATATATAATCAGCCTAAAAATTTAATTTTTCATCAATTCACGTTTCATACTATTATTAATGTTATAAAACGGCATGTACAGTACAGCATGTGTAAAGTAAACCCTCAGTACTGACTGACGACGGGACCATCCAACTGTGTTTACAAACACAGACAGCAGACGATGAGGGTTTATATCTTGTTTTAGCTCTAGTCACTCTTGACCAAAGTGATTGATTATAGTATTCACTTATGCAATGGCACAACTACCCGTTAAAAGAGATGACATAACGTGTAAAAATATTCAGAGCCCGGATGGTGAAATATGTGTACAAACTCGTTCTTCAAAAGATAATAATCAATCTGTGACTCACTGTACCAAGACGTTCACAGACTCGAGGGTCTTAAACAATGATCAGTGTGAACCTCTACAGTGTATTATTATTCCAGAGAATCAGATACACACTAGACATAACCTGTCTGATCTTAGTGAGGCTGATAGGGACCCTCTCAGTTTAGAGCCTTCTATAATCTCTGAAAGTGTTTGTGAGGGTGAAAAGGAGAATGAGGCAAATTCAATAGTTACAACAGAAAAAGACAAAGTGTGTGATGATCTCAGTAACAAATTGAAAGTTGTTATCAATTTAGAAGGATTAAAAGAGGCTGGAGGTAAGAATAATGGACATGCTTTATCTTGTTTATTGTATTTAGTGAAACTCTAGAAGGGCCAGGGCTGGGTCCGACTAATTACCCAAATGTAGCCGCAATGAAGTCAAATAATGGTCCTACATTAATAAATCGGACTGCCAATCACTTCTCGACTAGTATTTGGTTTCACGAAGTCACAAAAAATTGGTAAACTTAATTTAATCTGAGTTAATAGATCGAGTACATGTACCTAACCTAGCCTAGCCTAACCTAACACAACTCAGATTAAATTATGTTAACCAATTTTTTGTGACTATGACACCAAATATTAATCGAGAAGTGATTCACAGCCCGATTTACGCTTGTAGGACCATCATTTGACTTCATTGCGACTACATTTGGGTACATTTGGGTAATTACTCGCTCCCTCGGTACAAGCACGCTATCTATTAACTCGGTTTAAATTAAGTTTTCCAATTTTTTGTGACTATGACACCAAATACTAGTCGAGAAGTGGTTGGCAGTCCGATTTATTCATGTAGGACCATTATTTGACTTCATTGCGGCTACATTTGGGTACATATGGGTAATTAGTCGGACCGGCCAGGGCTTAATAACAGGTTATTATTGGTATTATTTTAAGTCTTTGGATCTTAGGAATTTAAGTAAGTTTAAATATTGTTCCTGGGTTCTGTGGTTAGGTTAGGTTGGTTATTTTAATCGGTAGGTTTGGATATATAAATACAGGAATGACTGAAACCATAATTTTACCGTTAATATTTGTTGTTATGGTAAATTTTCATTCATGAACTGGTCTTTGTTTGGATATTAAAAATGTTTCTCCGATGTTATTTAATGAGTTTTGAACGAATTTGATATTCATTTCGGAGGGAAATCAATAGTTTTTGAGATCCCCCCCCCCCCATACCCATCAATCTTAACAAAACTGTATTTTTTTCGAGTAAATCACATAAATAATAAACCAACAAAACAAAACCTAACCTAACACCATTTTTCTGATGAAGCTTTGCAATTGACATAAATTAATCTCTTATCACAATGTCAGCACAGCTCTTTCCACCTGTTCAGCCATATCTGGTTATTCTGGTGCTGAAAACTAAAATCTCCACTCCCGATGCACTTTTAAGGGGCTCTCTTTTATATTTCATATTTATTCCCTTTATTCTTCAATACTTATATACTTGCTACATATCTATATTTTCTATTAATCTTTTCTTGTGTATATATTAATAATGTTATTTTCTAAGTCTTTCTGTCTATAAGTATACAGTTTCTCCTTGACTTATGACGGGGTTCCGTCCCGACGACCAGGTTGTAAGTCGAAAAGACGAAAATAATACATAGAAATTCTAAAATGGGTGTCTCTTTTTCTTCTCAGCACCACGAGAACTCTCACTTTTATGCTTGCCAGCCATTTTAAAGGGAATTACAAACGAAAATTTTGTCAGTACACAGCGCGATCACTAACGTCGGGACTCGAAAATAGGTAATGTGAAAAATATTTTATACCACCATGGCCATCGTATGTTCGGGTTGTCATAAGTCGAATATGTCGTAAGTCTAGGAGAGACTGTATGTCTTATATGTCTTTGTTTATACCCTGTATTTGCTAAGTTAATAGTCTGTTCTATACAGTACTTTATTTCTTCTGTCATATATATTTTTGTATTTTACAGATTTTATATCTTTTCTGTCTCTCAGTTTATTATGCCTTAGTTACATTCTATACCATGTTATTCTTACTATAACACTTATTATACTTACAACGGTAGCCTGCCACCACCCAGACTTTTATTAGAATATAACATATCTCCTTGAACTGTTAGGTAGCATGCCAGCGAGCTTCTAGGCACGTGAGTTACAATAGTTATTTTATGAGAACCAACGGATAGAAGGAATAGAGCGGTGATACTCGTAGTTTAATAATTCAATATTTATTAACATAAGGAGTAAACAAGATGTTAAATAAGTACACTCAGACAAGACTGGACCACTTAGGTCTTACTTTACAATTCATAAAATAGATCTTCAATAACTTATTACATCATTAAACAACTGTTATATTAATTCTTTGACAAATAAGATGGTTATTTTACACACTCAGATAGAACTGGACCCTTAGGTCTTACTTTTACAGGTAGTAAAATAAATCTTCAATTCTTGGTTACAACATTAAACAATCATTATATTATTTTATTGTCAATACAGATGGTTATATGACACACTTTACAATATCCCAAATTAACATATTATTTATAACATGTTATTTCGGAATGAACAACATGGCACTTTTCCCTCAGTTGGTAATACATATGAATGATGTACTCAACCCCCATAACATGTTATTACTGATACTATCAATAATTATGGGTTCATTACTCAACATGGGATAACTATATTTCTGCTAATTATCCCCAATCATATACAACAATATTACTTTGGACCATATAACTGTAAGGAGTGCCCCAGGGTGTCACACTGGTGTCACCACAACAAGCAAAGAGCACTGTTAGGGTCGGTTGCAGTCTGACACACTGCGAAGGAGTTTGGGTCTAGTTTCTAGGGTGCGGACTCGCACATTTTAATCGTGCCGTATTAACGACATCCTGCAAGACAGCCAGCTGGTATACAGCTACCGGTTCCCCGGTGACTGCCGGGTATTCAGCTAACACACACACACACTCTGTGCCTGAGATAGTGATGGAACAGCGTCAGAGTTGTCACAAAAATAACTCAATCACAAACAATCTTTCGTCTGACAACGACAGACAATATTTACGTTACATTAATTCTTTCACTGGGTAAATGATAATTTCACTGTTACAACATGAACACTGATATTCACAAAATTCACTGAGTTAAACTGACTTAATAAGGCAGGCGTGAGAACTATACACATACCTGAGATATGATGGAACAGCGTCAGAGATGTGACGCTGCTCCTCTTACACGAGTTTATATACTGCTAACTGGCAACTCAGGCCTGTGCGCTACACATGCCAGAAAGGCTAATCACGCAATGGCAGAAATTACATTCAACTCAGTTGCTGTACATTTAACTATGAAATGCAGTGTCATGGGTCAGGTGAATTTCTTAATTCTATTTTTATAATCTAATCAGAGATTGAGCTTGCCAGGAAAAATGGAATGGACGTCAAATACACGCACTAACAACACTATTTTTACAAGCTCAGCAAAACTACCAACAAGGAACTATTCATAAGGATACGTTAGATTTTGGAGATTATACAGTTTAACAGAATCTTTTAGGAGATTAATGACTTTCTTAAATAGACAACTGACACTAACTAAACTACAAATATCAGATTCTCTGATGTTTGGGCATCAAAATGATCGAATTTCAGTACAGTAGTACTTAGAAACTCATGATATTCCCAAGGACGATATAAGCTTTCAACATCACTCACAAGGGATCTTGAATGTTTCATCTGTAATCAGACATATTTAAATTGCCTTAACAGATATAACTACAGTTGCAATTTCAAATTTTGTGTCGTTATACTGAGGAATACGGAGTCTCGGGTGCACTCTAACATAGAGGGAAAAACAGAGGACTCAGACGTCCTGAAGCGATGAGGAAACGGACGCCTCAGACGGAGACTCAATAAAGAAGGCACAGCTACATGTTTTGTGGGCTATTGAGCGTAATATGAATCGTCTGATTTTATGTTAACTAACATGTACGACCGTGGTCATTACAGTACACACCCATGCAGTGTTCATTGGCTAAGACAAAGAACTCTTGCCCAATTATAAGTTTCCAATAACTATAGCCAGTAAGAAACTCCCATACCACCTCCGCAAATGCGCTGTAGACGCTTAAGAAGCCAACACGGAGGTAAGGAGCACTGCGTGACGGGTGGTCAGATCTTCGCTGTGAGACGTAAACAACAAATGGCGACACTTGTGACTGACCAAATCTAATAATATTGAAATATTAATATCTCAGTTATCCTTAATTTCCGGCGGAAGTATCACAGAATAAAATGGTCTTAGAATTGTCTAAACATTATGAAAAATATATTAATAACAGCGAAATCGAAAATTCATCGTTTTTAGTCCAATTGGTATTTCGAATTCTTGGTTAATATTGACGGCTGACCTGCCGATGAGTTATTTGTTTTGGTGTATATCTTCTTACTATATTTTCATCAGTGAATACTGATATGATAATCATTTATCGTGCAAATGCTTCGTTTGGTAGATATTTAGGTGCCTAAGGTGCACACTACTTTATCTTCACGCCATACATTGGCGTCGATCGGAGCCGTCAATGTGATTGGCGGGGATGCTTCTTCTCGGCTGCATTACCGCCGAGAAAGATAAAGTTGAAAAACAACAGCTTGGCCCAGTAGCCTGGTTACAGAGATGAGTCTAACCTGGCCACAATGCCGCCAGCGATGTTAACAGATGTAAACGTGAGAATAAAGTTATCTGTAAATCTTCATTTGTATCAGGTATTTGTAGATTGAAAAATAAATGTTGCAGATATGACATTAATAGATTGTAATGCTTGTAAGAGCTAAGAAATGGTTACTGCTTAACTACCTCTGAAGAGTTGGGTGTCTGCTGTACAGACGTTAATTGTCTCAGGTTATCATCATCAGTACAATACAGAGTAGTTATAGATCGTCCTTTTATATTAACAATAATTATTTTTTAATTAATTGAAAATGATAATGTGTTTAAGTAAGCAATAACACATTTTTAATTCTTGGGTTGGGTTAGGTAGAATTTAGCCAACTGGAGACAGCAACTGGGGGATTCATTAGCGTGCGACAGACCTTAACTTCACATTATACGATACAAGCTAATTTTTAAGCCATTTTTCAGACAAAAAAGTGTCATATATGCCATAAAATACGGTACCATATTTTATGGCATATGAGATGCATATTACACTTTATGGTAAATAACAATGACCTCGGTGAAAACATTTGTTAACAACCGGACATAAGTGTGATTTTCAACCCAGAGAGTTCTGTTTCAATTTTTTTTTATTGTTGATGTAATATTCTTTTAATAACCTTATTATACACTTAAAGACCTTAGTTGGTGAAGTGCAGTAATGACATAACAACAACTGATTTTCTTTAAATAGTTCAGATAAGCAGTGTTATCCCCATATACAGGGGGTATTCGCTTTTATCGGACTTTAGCATTTTCAGACTAGGGTCTGCCCCAATTACAGTAGTCCAGTTTAACGAGGTTCTACTAGTGTGTGTGTATCTGTGCACACACACACACACACACACACACACACACACACACACACACACACACACACACACACACACACACACACACGAGCTAGCTCAGCTGTCTCTTCGGGACAGAGAAGGTTACCTACGTGACATGCTGCATGCTTGCATCAGGCAGTAACTGACTCATGGTCCTGTTACATGTGGCAGTGCTGCCTGGCTGGCAGTGTTATCAAACATAGGCCTAGAGTTGCCTATAACACTTCATAAAAATCAAGCTACTTGTACTGCGTGTCATGTCATGAGTTATAGTACTGGTAATATTTCACCGTGGATATTTCTGTAATGGGCTCCAGCTGACACCTATTGTTTATCACGGATAGATCTGTAATTGACACCCAGCGGGTTAAGTGTCACAGTAGGCGTGGAAGATATGTGAGTGATAATAATTATGTTATTTTCTATTTTCAGGTCTGCTGTATATAGGATGTAAAGGTGACACTGACAAAACCAATCCATCTAAAGTAAGTAGAAAAATTAAAATGGAGTTACTGTTTATTGACATACAATATGTGTACAGGCAGTCCTCGTGTTAACAGGTTATGTTCCTGAACCCTGCTCATACAAAACAAAATGTAAGTACTGTAAATAAAGTAATCTTAAATTACTGTAAATATAGAAAAATGAAATTGTTCTTGTACTGTAATGTAAAAAAAAATATTTTAGTTGCAGATTATTGTGATAAATAGACAGTATTGGGATCTCCCATAATTCAAAATAATAGGGACTCTAACCCTTACAAATTATGAGATATAACAAAATATGAGGGAAACCGTGTCTCAAAAAACCCCACAGTACTTTTCCATTATTTGCCCTAATAAAATTTTTAATGTTTCAAAATACAGTATACTTACAGTTCCGTTCAGAAGTTTGTTATACACCCACGGTAATGGGTGCCTGTTGTACCCTTTCTGGAGGTCAGGTCACTACACCAAACCTCTCACCACCATACAGGTCACCAGTCATTACCATCACCTCATCCTCCTACAGGTCACCAGTCATTACCATCACCTCATCCTCCTACAGGTCACCAGTCATTACCATCACCTCATCCTCCTACAGGTCACCAGTCATTACCATCACCTCATCCTCCTACAGGTCACCAGTCATTACCATCACCTCATCCTCCTACAGGTCACCAGTCATTACCATCACCTCATCCTCCTACAGGTCACCAGTCATTACCATCACCTCATCCTCCTACAGGTCACCAGTCATTACCATCACCTCATCCTCCTACAGGTCACCAGTCATTACCATCACCTCATCTCCTACAGGTCACCAGTCATTACCATCACCTCATCCTCCTACAGGTCACCAGTCATTACCATCACCTCATCCTCCTACAGGTCACCAGTCATTACCATCACCTCATTCACCAGTCCATCACCTCATCCTCCTACAGGTCACCAGTCATTACCATCACCTCATCCTCCTACAGGTCACCAGTCATTACCATCACCTCATCCTCCTACAGGTCACCAGTCATTACCATCACCTCATCCTCCTACAGGTCACCAGTCATTACCATCACCTCATCCTCCTACAGGTCACCAGTCATTACCATCACCTCATCCTCCTACAGGTCACCAGTCATTACCATCACCTCATCCTCCTACAGGTCACCAGTCATTACCATCACCTCATCCTCCTACAGGTCACCAGTCATTACCATCACCTCATCCTCCTACAGGTCACCAGTCATTACCATCACCTCATCCTCCTACAGGTCACCAGTCATTACCATCACCTCATCCTCCTATAGGTCACCAGTCATTACCATCACCTCATCCTCCTACAGGTCACCAGTCATTACCATCACCTCATCCTCCTACAGGTCACCAGTCATTACCATCACCTCATCCTCCTATAAGTCACCAGTCATTACCATCACCCAGAGCAAAGATCATCTTAGGCCCAAGTAACTAAGATGTCCTTAAACAGAGGTGGGCGTTGGTCAACCAATCAGCGCATGGAACACAGGTGCCAGAGGAGGTGGGAAACATAAACAGAGTTGTCAATTGTTGTTTGTGGGAATATTATTTCATTCACTCTAGTAATGATACAATGTTTCTTATTATGTTATCATAAGTAAATGCTTGGTTTATATAATTTGTTTATCACTGTGCCTGTCACTGTTTTTAAATTAGACTACAAGATATGTATTTCTCCCATATTTCGATTGTATGCCTCGCAACGGGAGTGAGTAAGGGAGTAAGTGACCGCTAGTTGGCGCTTCGGCTACTTTTGTAACTCCGCGCCCCCTGCCATATTTCACTGGATTTACTGTTATTATTAGTGTTTACTGATAATAGGGCTTAATACTGATTAATCATGGTATCTAAAGCAATTGAGGGTGTGAAGAGAAAGTATGTACAGTTGGGAACAAATGAACCTGCTACAAGCTCAGTGACAGGCTGGTGGTACCTGGCAACTGTAACTTAGTAACGGGTGAAATTTTATGAATGAACTCGTCCATTTGTAACAGTGACTGTGATTGGTTAACGTATGTTTGCCCGCGTATATGTTGGTAAATACAATTTATGATGAATTAAGTATTGTGCAAATATCCTCTTTTACTAGAGACTCTTATGAAACTTTAATCTTAAAATTGTGATTGAAATTATTATTAAACAAGAATTTCAGATTAGGCAAACCTTGTAATGCCAGGCTTACCACATATTACTAGAGGCAGCAGCACACTGGGCACCTTTCCTCCCAACATGTTGGGCAAACACGGTCGGTCCGGCAAGCAAAAAGAGACTTTTGCATCACACAAGGATGTTTTGTTGGTGCGTCTACCCATCGCAACAAAAACAACAAATCGTCTAGATGAGGTTTGCCACGGATCCCATTACTGCAGTTGAGGCCTTGCAGGATTGTGCTATACTGTACTGTGTTTTACGGCATATATGACGCACTGTTTTGTTTGAAAAATGGCTGAAAAATCAGCCTGCATCGTATAATGTGAAGTTGAGGTCTCCCGTAAGCTAATGAATCCCCCAGTTGCTGTCTCCCATAGGCTAAATTCTACCTAACCCAACTACAGAATTAAAAATGTGTTATTACTTACTTAAGCACATTATTATTATTTTTAATTAATTAAAAAATAATTATTGTAAGTATAAAAGCTCGATTTATAACAACTGTACTGATGATGATAACCTGAGATGATTAACGTCCGTACAGCAGACACCTAACTCTTCAGAGGTAGCTAAGCAGTAACCATTTCTGAACTCATACAAGCATTACAGTCTATTAATTCCATACCTGTAACATTTATTTTTATATTACAATTACCTGATACAAATGAAGATTTACATATAACTTTCTTTCCACATTTGCATCTGTTAACATCGATGGTGACATTGTAGCCTGGTTTGACTCATCACTGAGGCTATGGGGCCAAGCTGTGAAGTGTTATGTTTGTTTTCATCTCGCATTTTCGGATAGATATACGTAACTTTTTTCATTTATTTTTACTCAGTTACGTGCACAAACCATCCTACCTTCATATTGTGAAAAAGTAAAAGAAATAATTGCCCTAAGGGCAAACACATAAAGGAAATATACATTTCTTTGCAAATGAGTTAGCTGGCTGGCTCAGTGAGGGGAGTGTGAGGAGGCAAGACGTGTGGGGTGGGAGGGGGGCCATTGCAGAGGTGAACCGGGGCATATATGTAGTTGGTGACTGTGTTAAACTTTCATTTTTATTTTATTTACTGGTACTGTATACTGTTTATTATTTTTAAGGAAACTATGGATACGGGAGGAAAATACACTCAAAAGTTTTTTCTTATATGCTGTAAAATACAGTGGTCCCTCAGTTAACGAGCACAACCCGTTCTAGAAGGTTGCTCGTTAACCGAAAAACTCGTTAACCGAAACCATTGTTTCAATGGGTTTTTGGGTAATTGGTTCCAGCTCACCGAAAATTGCCTAAATTCAACAAAAAAGGAAGAAAAGTACACTTACTTTGAGGTGTGTATGTAGAAGGCTCCTGGATGATGATGATGATGGGAATTAGAATGGGGGTGGAGGAGAAGGGAGAAGAGAAGGCATTGCGGTGGAAGAGAAGTCACCCCATGGCGCCATTTCACCCATAAAATTTTAGTTCTCTTGGTGTAATTCAAGATTATTTTCTTTCAATCAACACTACACTGCATTATATATTGTCAATATGTAAAATAAATTTCAAAATGACCAATAATTTGCTTGCAAACACAGAAAAAAAGCATTTAGTTGAGGAGAGTCTCAAGCAAGATGTTACCTCCACTGAAAAGACACAAAGACTGACGCCTGTATGGTGTGTTGAGAAGCTGGATGGTGCGCATAAAACTAGTTTCATTACCTTCAATTATGTTCAATAATTGTTAAAATGACTAAAAAATTTAATATTAAACTTTTAAAATTATTGAATAGCATAAACTTCATGATATTTGCTAAAATTGTAAGGAATTTAAGCCCTAGAACTGATTACTGTATTGGCGGACTAATACTACAGCTGGTTGACCGCCAAATGCAAGCGAAAACATGTTCAGGTCGGCTCGTAAGAAACTCGTTAATCGAGGGATTGCTCGTTAACCGAAATCTCGTTAACCAAGGCGCTCGTTAACCAAGGGACCACTGTATGGTAGTTCTTCAATTGATGAAGCAAGTGAGGCATCTGCAAAAGCTAAAGAAAACACCTGATGGGTGTGTCGTGAAGTTTGCTAGCAAATGGTGGCGGCTGGCTGGTTAAAGAAGACCCTGAATTGTATAACATTTAATAATACTAAAGAAGTAAACTTTGAATACCTCTACAGCACTGCCTTCACCACAGCATTGCCCTACCATCACCACTTCCTCACCCACACCATTACCTCACTCAAAACCTGACATTAACCCTTTTGACTCGACCTTCGCTAAAGATTATAGTAATTAAGAGCCACATGCGGGTATATTCCATGGCCTTGAAAAAACCTTACTGATAGAGACGACATGCGGGGATATTGGAAGGACGCTCAAATCGCCGCCAAACGCCGACTGCTGCCATCTAACGAACTCCCAGGCAACTACAATCATACTGATGTGTTTGTTGTGACGTCTTGTTGGATCATATGCGGTAGGTGATTTATTGTCATTTTGTTGATATTATACAGTCTCTCCTCGACTTACGACGGGGTTCCGTCCCGACGACCAGGTCATAAGTCGAAAAGGCGAAAATAATACATAGAAATTCTAAAATGAAATACAGTACAGTAAAAGTAATCAATAATGAAAAATGAATATAGTGTTACTGTGCACTTACCTTTAATGTAGTCAGCTGAATGCACATGGGGCCTCAATAATTTTTTAATTATGCATGAAGCAGAGGAGGAGACAGGGCTGGGTGGGTCATCAAGTTTGCTTTCTTTAGACAGGCTAACATACTTGCTTGTTGAAGGTATTGGATCATCTTTAGGGAGTGAAGAGGCAGCAGTGG